GTTCTAGTTGAAGTTGTTGGATATAGAGATAAGTGATGATTCCAGGATTCTTCGGTATTGAGTATTGTCTTCTCTGACAATAAGTCTTGAGTTTCTGTAGCTTATTAAATGGTTGTGTGAATTACGTTGTTGTACATAGGCATTCCTTGGGTCGTCAGACCTCCTTGCGTATTGGTGTTCTAAAATGCGTATTGGTGTTCTAAAATACGTGTTTGGAGGTTTCTTGATGTTTCACCCATGTATAATTTGCTGCAGTCATTACAAGGGATTATGTATACCCCTGCAGATGATGGAAGCTTGTCCTGTCTATTACTGGTAATGTCCTTGATGGTCGTGGTTGTGGAGGTAGATACCTGGAATGAGGTATTGGAAAAGATGTTGGAAATAAATAAATTTAGATTTAGAAAGGACATAGGTAAGTACTGGTTTTCTAACAGAGTTGTGGATGCATGGAACAATCTTCCCAGTGGGGTGATAGAGGCTAGGACCTTGGGTAGCTTTAAGAAGAGATTGGACAAATATATGAGTGGGAGGGGCTGGGTTTGATTGGTGTCATAGGGTACAGGAGTTAATTCTTGGGTAGTTTTGGGTAGATGTCGTTTTGATAAGTACCTGCCTTGTATGGGCCAGTAGGCCTTCTGCAGTGTTCCTCCATTCTTATGTTCTTAAACGTGTTTGGCAATGGAATTGGTGAGGAGGACTATGTATCTCCTCTCGGCAGTGTCTTCTCTGGGTGTGTTGAAGATATTTAATGCCCGTTGTCTGCAGTCTCTGATGAAGTGACGAGGATAGTGAAGCTCGGAAAATACTTGTTCAATTATAGTGCATTCTTCCTCGAGGAACTCATTACTGCAGATTCTGAGTGTGTGCAGGAAAAAGCCTATAATTGCACCACGTTTAGTTTTGGTGCCATGGTGAGAGTGGAAGTGGAGAGGATCATTTTGGTTGGTGGGTTTTCGATAGACTTTAAAACGAAGCTCATGGTCAGCTTTGCAGAGAAGAACATCAAGGAAAGAAAGAGTGTTGTCAACTCTTCTTCAAGTGTGAACTGGATTGAGGGCTCAACATGGTTGAGCTTGTCTTGGAGAGATTGAACGTTGAAGCATCTGAGTTATGAGGAGAATGTCGTCAACATAACAGAGCCAGGTGACAGACGAAGGAATAATGGTGGAAAAACGCTCGGCTTCCAGATGTTCCATGTATAGGTTCGCCAGGACAGCACTGAGTGGCGAACCCATGGGTACTCCAAAAGTCTGCTGAAAGAGGTGATTTTCGAAAGAGAAACACGTAAAGCCAACACATAGATCAAAAAGGTCGATGAAATTCCTGGCTGGAGTAGGAAGATCAAGTGAATCGTCAATTTTCCAGAGCAAGAGATTGATGGCTTGTGTAGTAGGTACTTTGGTGAATAGGGAAGTTATTTCAAGGTCGGAAAGTTTCTTGTTCCTGATATCGATGTTGCGAATACGATTGAGAGGATCACCCAAATGTTTGAGATGTGCTGGACTGATGGTGCCCAAGAGTTTAGAGAGGTGTTTTGCGAGAATTCCTGAGAGTTTGTGGGGAGCACTGCCTATTCCCGAAGATATAGGCCTCAATGGGATACCAGACTTTTGAGTTTTTGGCAGGCCGTACATTCTGGCAGGTCTGGGGTTGCTGGGTATGGTGTGCAGAAGTTTCTTTCCTTGTTCTGAGTCCTTCAGAATGCGGCGAGTCCTTTGAAGAAATGTTTTAGTAAGATTGTCCACTTGGCTAGTTGTGAGAGGTTTGTAGGTATCTGGGTCATTAAGTAGATTGAGCATTTTGTTCCTGTAATCGTCAATGTTCATGATAACAACACCACCACCTTTATCAGCGGTGGTGACCCTGATGGTCATGTCTTTTGCTCAATCTACTTAATGACCCAGATACCTACAAATCTCACCTGAACTTCTTCCCCCTTAGTTTATACACTTTCACCTCTTTCTTACTTGTTGCCGTTTTCCTTTAGTCCCATCTACCTCTTACTCTAACTGTAGCTACAGCTAAATAATGATCCGATATATCAAGTGCCCCTCTATAAACTTGTACATTCTGAAGCCTTCCCATCAACCTTTTATCCACCAATATATAATCTAACAAACTACTTTCATTACATGTTATATCATACCTTGTATATTTATTTATCCTCTTTTTCATAAAATATATATTGTTACCAAACCTTTTTCTACACGTAGCTCATTTAAAGGCTCCCCATTTACATTTACCCCTGGCACCTCAAATTTACCTACTACTCCCTCCACAACATTTTTACCCACTTTATCATTGAAATCCCCAACCACAAGTGCTCTCACACTTGGTTCAAAACTCCCCACACACTCACTCAACATTTCCCAAAACCTCTCTCTCTCCTATACACTTCTCTCTTCTCCAGGTGTATATACACTTACTATAACCCACTTTTCACATCCAATCTTTATTTTACTCCACATAATCCTTGAATTAATACATTTATAGTCCCTCTTTTCCTGCCATAGCTTACCCTTCAACATTATTGCTACTCCTTCTTTAGCTCTAACTCTATTTGAAACCCCATTTACTTTTCTCCACTGAAACTCTCCCACCCCCTTCAGCTTTGTTTCACTTAAAGCCAGGACATCCAGCTTCTTCTCATTCATAGCATCCACAATCATCTCTTTCTTATCATTCGCACAACATCCACACACATTCAGACATCCCACTTTGACAATTTTCTTCTTCATTTTAGTAATCTTTACAGGAAAAGGGGTTACTAGCCCATTGTTCCCAGCATTTTAGTTGACTGTTACAGCACTGTTCCAGTGGGTACATGTTCAACACTTAAGGAATTCCCAGTAATTTAAATGGTTTATTGGCACTGTGTGGACCATAAACAATCTCTGTATTTGTTCAAGCTCTGATATTTCTCCTGCCGTGAATGAGGCCATCAATACTAAGCAATATTCCAAATGAGGGAGCACTAGCGATATGAAGAGTGTCACCATTGGCATATTTTCCCATGTTTTGAAAGTTCTCAATACCCACCCCGTCATCCTCCTAGCTGTCGTCATTTTTGTCTTTTTATGTTCTTTCAAAGAAAAGTCAACTGACATACTTATTCCCAAGTCTTTCACATGTTCCTTTCATTCTGTTTGGTGATCCTCTTGTTTTGTGTACAGTATTCCTTTGGAGTTCTTCATTCTTTCCAACATCCCCACCCTTTCTTCAGAATGAAGGCACTGCCTTTTCACCTCCAGGACTGAAGTCCAGCTAACCAATTTCCCTGAATCCCTTCATAAGCCTGTTACTTTGCTCACACTCCAACAGTACATCATATCATAAAATCACGTACCTCCACTTTTTCCTACCTCACACATTCACACAAGCTTGTTGAATATCCAAACCTTTAACACTTAAAACCTTCATTACCCTGTCCCTCCATTCCTTCCTGGGATGACTCCCCTACCCCACCTACCCTCCACCCCAGATTTATATGCCCTCCTCCTCTAAATATCCAAACCACCTCAGCAACCCCTCCTTTACCCTCAGAATAATACTTTTGGTAACTCACGCCTTCCACTCTCCAAGCCCCAAATTCTCTGCATAATATTCACATCACGACATCTCCACTGCCTCCAGCAGCACTATGACCCTTATGGGTTTACTGCTTAACTTGATTATAGTAAGCCATTGCCTCCAGCCTCCTCTTTGCTAAGACATTTAAAACCCATGCTTCACATTAACTGTTGGTACTACTATTATCTGGTACATTCCTTTTTTGCCTCTATGGATAATGTTCTTTGTCTCTACAAATGCCTCAGTGCACCACCCACCTTTTTCTCACTTGTCAGTTCTATGGTTCCCTTCATCCTTCATAGAGCCATCTGCTGACAAGTCCACTACTGATTATCTAAAGACATTTTCTTTGTCCATACTCACTCCCTCCAGTCTGATATCAAGTCTTTCATTGCCTAGATATTTTGTTACTCATTACCTTGCTCTTTCCTATTTTCTGTTTTAATTTCCATCTTACATACCCTCGCAATTCATCTACCAGCCTTTGCAACTTCTCTTCAGAATCTCCCAAAAGAACTGTGTCATTGGCAAAAAACAACTGTGACAACTTCCACTTCATAACAGATTCATTATCTTTTAATCCTACACCTCTCCCCAACACCCCAGCATTCACTTATTTTACAACCCCATCTGTTAGTATGTTAAACATTTATGGTGACTTCACACATCCCTCTCTAAGATCTGCTGTTACCAGAAAATAATATCTCCTATGTATCCTAACCTGAGCCTCTTCAGGGAATGCTAGTTGTCTCTAAGAAACTGTAACTCCTTCCTAACTTTTTCTTGCTCTGCATTCACCTGAAGATACAGCTGTTCATACTAACTCAGAGAAGACATGCAGCAGCACTAGCACAGATAATTTGCAAAGCCTATCTTCATTTCACTGTTTTTAATAAAATGCTATGATTTTGTATGTTCTTTTTATGCATGTGCAGTGGGCTCAAAGAAATTTGGAAGAAAATGATTAAGAATATAGATTTAATAATCACAGTACAATTTTTAAAAGCTGAATTCTACATTTTTTTTTTTTCCCTTGTTATTTTTTCATAAAATACTTTGATGTTTTAGGTATGTTCGCTTCATGCTTGTGTGGAGGGTTCACATTTGTCAAGTAAAGTTTAGTTATAACCATTCATTTATTGCACTGTTGTATTGAAGTACTGTATCATAAAGAGTGGCCACTTAGGCAATTTTTCAAAAAAGTTCTCCACTATAATTCTCTTGACAGTTGTGTAGTTAATAAAACAGCATTATTAGTTTTTCTTTTTAACCACAACGGCCATTTCCAGCCATGTTAGGGTGACCCTGGTAAGAAAACATTCTTTTTTGTTCATTCAGTAGCTGTCTTACCAGAAGTACACAGATATGACTCTACAAAATTCAACTTCCCCACCAATTTGTCATTAGTATTTAACCAAAATTTTCAGGCTCTTCTTAGTGCTTCTAATCTACTGGAGGTCGTTGCTGTAAGGGAAGCTTGCTGTCGTTTCCTTGAACGTCACATTGATGCTACCAACTGTGTTGGAATTCACTGCTTTGCTGAGGCCCATTCTTGTCATGATCTTACTAAAAAGGCTAAAGCATATACATTAAGGTAGGTCTGAAGAAAATTTATTCCACCTTTTTTATGAGGTTACTTTGCAATATACTTCATGATGGTGACTGAGGTTTTTGCACTTGCTTTAATATTGGTAAGAAGACCAACATATGCTAGATAAATGGACATGTGCGGCTAATAAGACATTTGCTGTGGCTGTTTTGCTCACTGGGATTTTTGTTATAATTACTGAAAAAATCTTCTGACAAACACAATACGTATAGCCACAATAAATGTCGCGTTAGTTGCACATGTGTTCACTTACCTAACATCACTGTACTTCATGCACATAAATGAATTCTCTTATATACATGATTACATAACAAAGAAATAGGATTTGTTATAAGTATAATATATAAAAATGATAAGGAAAATTAGACCAAAAACACTCATTTTAACAAGTAGAAATATATTTTTAAATAATTAAAACATCCTCTTGCTGAACATCAACAAGTGCGATGGGTAAAATTCTGCATTACTTTATCTACTTTTTCATGGTAAATAGTATATACTGTACTGTATGTGTGTTTGTTTATATAATATATGTCGTGCCGATTCCCACCAAGGCAGGGTGGCCCGAAAAAGAAAAAACTTTCACCATCATTCACTCCATCACTGTCTTACCCTTCTGGCAAGACAGTGATGGAGTGAATGATGGTGAAAGTTTTTCTTTTTCGGGCCACCCTGCCTTGGTGGGAATCGGCCAGTGTGATAATAAAATAATAAAAAAAATATGTCGTGCCGAATGTGTAAAACTGGTCAATTAGCAAGAACTCCTTTAAAATTAAGTCCTTTGTAAATTTTTCTCTTATACAATTAAAGATATATTTTTTCATTAATGTTAATGTAAAAATTTATAATTTTGCACCAGGAGAATCTTAGAAAACTTATCTAACCTTATTATAACAAGAACAATTTATTTTAGCCTAACCCAACTAAATATATTTTAGATACGTTTGCAATAATTTAATAATAAATAAACGCAATGAAATATATTTTTTTCGTTAAATTCAGAATGATTTTTGCAAAGTTATTGCATAAACAAATTTTCGCTTGTCTTATATAGCAAGATAAGCGTTGCTATTATGTAAGTGTATTTATGTAAGTGCGTTTGTACGTGTATGTTTGGGGGTCTGAAATGGACTAATCTACTTCACAATATTCCTTATGGGAACAAATTCGGTCAGTACTGGCACCTGAACATACTTCTGGAGTGAAAAAATATCGTTAACCGGGGGTCCACTTATTGCCCCCCCCCCCCCCCTCTCTTTTTATATATATTTTTTATATATTTTTATCTTATTTATAAATATATTTTCATATATATATGTTGCGGTGTATTGTGTAGGAGTAGGTTACTGACAGCAGTGAAGAGTTTTTACGAGGATAGTGAGGCTCAAGTTAGGTATGTAGGAAAGAGGGAAATTTTTTCCAGTAAAAGTAGGCCTTAGACAAGGATGTGTGATGTCCGTGGTTGTTTAATATATTTATAGATGGGGTTGTAAGAGAAGTAAATGCGAGGGACCTTGGCAAGAGGCGTGGAGTTAAAAAGATAAAGATCAACACAAAGGGTTTTGTAGGAGTTGTCACAGCTGCTCTTTGCTGATGACACTTGCTCCTTGGAGGATTCTGAGAGAAGGTTGCAGAAGATTGGTGGCATGAATTTGGTAGGGTGTGCAAAAGAAGAAAATTAAAGGTGAATACAGGAAAAGCGTAAGTTATGAGGATAAAACAAAAAGATTAGGTGATGAAAGATGAATTCTCAGATTGGAGGGAGAGAGTAATGGAGGGGTGAAACGATATTCAGTATATGGCGAGTGCGACGTATCAGCGGATGGGTCTATGAAGATGAGGTGATCTAGAATTGATGAGGGAACAAGAGTGAGTGGTGCATTAGGAGTCTGTGGAGGACAAAAGAACTTGTCCTTGGAGGCAAAGAGGGGAATGTATGAGGTATAGTTTTACCAACGTTCTCTATATGGGTGTGAAGCGTGGGTGATGAATGATGCAGCGAGGAGAAGGCTGGAGGCAGTGGAGATGTCATGTCTGAGGGCAATGTGTGGTGTAAATATAAGCAGAGAATTGTAGTTTGGAAGTTAGGAGGAGGTGCGGGGATACCAAAAAACTGTTGTACAAGAGGGTGAGGAAGGGTTGATTGAGGTGGTTCGGAACATGTAGAGAGAATGGAGCAAAACAGAATGGACTTAAGAGTGTAGCAGTTGTAGTGGAGGAAGGCGGGGTAGGGGTTCGGCCTAGGAAGGGTAGGGAGGGAGGGGTAAAGGAGGTTTTGTGTGCGAGGGGCTTGGACTACCAGCACCTGCGTGAGGTGTTTGATATGAGTGAATGGAGACAAATGGTTTTTTAATACTTGACGTGCTGTTGGAGTGTGAGCAAAAGGTAACATTTATGAAGGGATTCAGGGGAAACGGCAGGCCGGACTTGGAATCCAGGAGATGGGAAGTCAGTGCCTGCACTCTGAAGGAGGGGGGTGTTAAAGTTGCAGTTTAAAAATGTAGTGTAAAGCACCCTTCTGGCAAGCACAGTGATGGCGTGAAGTGATGGTGGAAGTTTTTCTTTTTCGGGCCAACCATGCCTTGGTGGAATCGGCCGGTGTGATAAATAAAAAAAATAAAAAAAATTTATATATATATTTATGTATATATACTATTATTTATACATGGACCCGCTTAGCGAAGCCTTGCATAGCGACAATCCGCATAGCGAACGCTTTGTTCGCTAAAATTTTGCCAGCATAGTGGTCAAAAACCGCTCAGCGACTTCGTCGAGACGAGTCAATGTGCGGCCCAGCCAGCCTCACATGTGCCGCCCGTCCCATTGTTTCCCAGCAGCCTCCGCGGTAACATTCAAGCTAACTCCGAATATTGTCATTATTACCGTGTTTTCGTGCTGTTTCTGGAAAATACGTGACCATGGGCCCCAAGAGACGTTCTAGTGCCAACCACAGTGGTAAATATGGTGGACTTAGTAGGAAATTAAGAAAGATTTGAAGGGTTTGGAGCTACCTGAGAAGCTATGCCAGTTGTGGCACCATTGTGCCTACTTCAAAAATTAAGGAAATGTGTGCACAGTGGGGTTGATACTGCAAACCGTATGATGAAAATCACCTGACACAAGCTGTTGCAGCCGTGCTGGTGACTATTTTCAATGACATGTTGTGGCCCATTTTAGGACAACTCGTAATGGACGGGAGGTACAGAAGCCTATGGACAGCTTGTTGAGCGACAGAGGTCCAGTGACTCTCCATGCTTGTTCCTAGTGCTTAACGAAGGAAAGGGAAAGTAACCCGTAAAGGACTTGCTACCTCAAGTTCTAATGGAAGGGGATCCCCTTCTAAACACTAACACTCTTCTCTCCCTCCTCCCATCCCAATCAATCATCACCTGATCTTCAATAAAAGTAAGTGTCACTGTAATTGTGCAACTTTTTCAGTTTGTGTGTACTTAAAATTACATCTTTTTGTGGGTAAAAAAAATTTTTTTTCATACTTTTGGGTGTCTTGCACGGAATTAATTTTATTCCATTATTTCTTATGGGGAAAATTAATTCGCATAGCGAACATTTCGCATAACGACAGCCCTCTTGCACGGAAATAAAGATCGTTATGCGGGGGTCCACTGTATATATTTTTTATATATATATATAATATATCTATATATATATTTTTTTTTTTTTGTTTCAACAAGTCGCCGTCTCCCACCGAGGAGGGGTGACCCAAAAAAGAATGAAAATCCCCAAAAAAGAAAATACTTTCATATCATTTCAACATTTCACCATACTCGCACATTATCACTTTTATGCAGAGGTAGCTCAGAATACAACAGTTTAGAAAGGCATACACAACATATTCCCTCAATACTGCCAATATCGAATCCACTCTTTAACCCTTTGAGGGTCGACCAGGCCCTCTCCGAAAAAACTCGTTATACAGGGTTGGCCCCCAAATTTTAAAAAAAAAAAAAAATTATTTTCTCTTATGAAAAAGATAGAGAATCTTTTCCCGATCATAAAGACACCAAAAGTTGAAATTTGATAGATAAACTTACGGAATTATTCTCTCGCCAAAGTTAGCTGTGTCGGCGATGTTCACGCATCGGCGATTTTGCCCAATTTGAGCCCCATTTTCCGGCCAATTTCACTGGACTAGGTCGACAAAACCATGAGTATTTCGCTAGAACTCCATTTTTTCCTATCGAATGGGGGGTGCATAGAAACCACCATTTATGAAATGCAAACTATCCAGTACAGTGGTCAGAATGTAGCAATTTGCCAAGTTCAACAAATTCCAAAGATGCCATTTCGAATAGGAGCAGAATTAAACAAGAACGACTTCCTGGCACTAAAATGACATTTCTTCAGTCATTAGTCACGTTCAAGGCTCCCTTATATTCTTTTGCATTCACTTTGAATTTGTTTCTCACAAAAAATATAGATTACTGTTATTGCAGACTACTGCTGAGTGTTAAAAAATGGTATATATATAATTGGTGCACTTGTGAAAGAATATTAGGACTCACCAGTTGACGTGTATTGCACGCCTTGGCACGATTTGTTTACTTTGAAGTTGGTAAAAATCGAACATTTCTGCTAACTTAGAGTCAATTTCAAGGCCCGTTCATTGTAATAAACCAGTCAAAATATCTCAATTTTCCTGTAATATGTCTTCCATTCATGAAATGAGACCAAGGAATACTAGAATACAAACATAAAACATACGAAAATACACTGCTAAGTCGCTGATTTATTCCAAAAAAATGGGCAAAGTTTTTTTTTTCATTATGCACTGTGTGCTGCATGATTTTTTTTAGACTGTGCACACTGGACCACATAGACCCATTCTGATCATATGAAGGCCTACCAGTTTCTCCCAATAGTTTTGAGGCCGTGCATTTTATGAGACCTAGTACGTCAAAAAACCCTCGCGTAAGACGTACTACTACGACATAACCCCAAAGGGGTTATAGTGCAGGCTTGTACTTCCATTTCCAGGACTCAGTCCGACTATATGAAATAACCGGTTTCCCGGAATCCCTTCACTAATATATTTACCCTGCTCCCACACTCCAACAGATCGTCACGTCCCGAGTACCATGCGTCTAATTCATCTATCTAACAAGCTCACGCTCGCTTGCTGAATGTCCAAGGCCCCTTGCCCACATAAACCTCCTTTCCCCCTGCTTCTCCAACCTTTCGGGACGACCCCTTACCCCCACCTTCCTGCCCCTATAGATTTATATGCTTTCCATGTCATTCTACTTTGATCCATTCTCTCTATGACCAAACCACAGCAAACTAACCCCTCTTCTGCCTCTGACTAATACTTTTATTAACTCCACACCTTTTTCCTAATTTCCACATCCGAATTTTCTGCATGATATTTTACACCCACACATTGCCCCTTAATCAGGACTTCTCCCACTGCCTCCACCGTCTCCTCACTGCTGCTTTACCACCCAAGCTTCTCACCCATTTAGAGTGTTGGTATACTATACTTTCATACAGTCTTCTTTGAGTCCTTAGATAACGTTTTTGACTACACATATACCTCAACACACCACTACCTTTTTTTCCCCTTTTTTCAACAATCAATTATATGATTAACCTATCCTTCATAAATCCATCCGCCGGACAGTCAACTCCCACGGATCTGAAAACATTTCACTTCTTCCTTACTCCTCCTCCCAATTTGATATCCAATTTTTCTTTATCTAAATCAATTTTTGCACATTCCAAAAATCACCACTAACCTTTGCAATTGTTTCTTATAGAATCTCCTTAAGCACATTATTCATCAGCAAAAAGTAATCGGTGTCAATTCCCTTTTGAATTTTGATTCCCCAAAATTGATTCCCACCCCTCTCCCGAACACCCTAGCATTTACTTCTTTACTAACCATCTATAAATATAATAAACAACCATAGTGACATTACTAATCCCTGTCTAAGACCTACTTTTACGGGAAGTAGTCTCCATCTCTTATAACACCCCGAACCTGAGCCTCACTATCCTCATTAAAAACTCTTGTACAGATTTAACTTACCACTATTCCATATACTTGCAACATCTGCCAAATGGTCCTCTATCCACTCTATCATATGCTTGTCTAAAATCCTAAATGCAATGAAAAACCTGTCCCTACCTTTATCTACATTACTGTTCACATATAGGCTTCAATGTAAAAACTGGGATCTACACATCCCCTATCACACTCTGAAACCTCCTTGTCATCCGCAATCTACATTCTGTCTTAACCTCTATTCTTTCAATTATCAACCCTTACCGTACCACTTTTCCTGGTATAATCAATAAACTTATTCCTCTTAATTTTTACAGTCTCTTTGTCCCCTTTCCCTTTTTATAAAGGAACTATACATTGCTCTCCGCACTCTAGGTACTTCCCCTCTTTCCTACTTTAACGAAAAGTACCAACCACTCCATAACACTATATCCCCCTGCTTGTTAACTATTTTGTCATGATTACATCAGTTCCATCTGCTTTACCCTTTCATTTTACTTAATGCTCACGTACCTCCCCCAACTTTACTTCTGCTCTTCTGCACTCCTAAATGAGGTATAACCTCCCTGACCAGTGCAGAAATTACTGGCCTCTGTTTCTTCATAACATGTAAAAGTCCTCAAAATATTCTCGGAATAACCTAATAACTCCTATCTCCATCTACGAACTCCCCTACTCTGTTTTAATGACTAATCCATACTTTCCGAGGTATTTAACTTGTTTAACTCACTCCAAAATTATTTCTTATTTCTAAAATTACTTGACAGTGCTCTCCACTCTTTACACCTGCTCTCCTTTTGCACTACTCACACTCTCTTTACCTTTCTTTTTCTCTCCATATACTCTGCTCTTCTTATAACACGTCTGCTTTGAAAACCTCTCATAAGCAACTGTTTCTCTTTATCACACCCTTTACTTCATCATTCCACCAATCACTCCTTGTCCTCCTGCCCCCACCTCTATAACCACATTTTCTGACCCACATTCTAATACTTCATTTTTAAAACTATTCCTAACCTCTTTCACCCCCACTATCAGTCTTTGCACTAGCCCACCTTTCTGCCAATAGTCGCTTATATCTCACCCGGAACTTCTCTCCTTGTTTATACACTTTCACGTCCTCTTACTGTTGTTGCCACCTTCCTCTTTCCCATTACCTTTACTCTAAAACTGTTAGCTACAACTAAATAATGCTCCGGATTATCAGTTGCCCTCTATAAAATGTACATCATGGAGCCTACCCATCAACCTTTTATCAAACCAATTACATAATCTCATAAATACTTTCATTATTGTGCTACATCATACCTTGTATCTTTATTTATCCTCTTTTTCATAAATAGGTAATACTTATTACCAAACTCTTTCCACACATAGCTCAATTTAAAGGCTCCCATTGCATTTACCCTGGCACCCAAATTTACCTACTACTCCCCCCATAACATTTGTACCCACTTTAGCTTTTGAAATCCCCAACCACCATTACTCTCACACTTGATTCAAAACTCCCCACGCATTATCAACATTCCCACTATCTCTATCTCTTCTCTACACTTCTCTCTTCTCCAGGTGCATACACGCTAATTAATAACCCATTTTATATTATATATATATATATATATATATATATATTACATTTATATATTAGTGGACCCCCGCATAGCGAACTTATCCGTGCAAGAGGGTGGGTCGTTATGCGAAAAGTTGCTATTGCGGAACTTAATTTTCCGCATAGAAATAATGAATAAAATTAATCCGTGCAAGACACCAAAGGTATGAAAAAAAATTTTTTTTACCACAATAAATGTTAATTTTAGTACACACAAACTGAAAAGGGCATGCACAATTACATGAAACTTACTTTATGAAGATCTGGTGATGATTGACTGGGATGGAGGAGGGGAGAGCGAGGGCTAGTGTTTAGACGGGGAATCCCCTTCCATTAGGACATGAGGTAGCAAGTCCTTTTTTGGGGTTATTTTCTCTTTTCTTTTAATGCCTCAGGACCTAGCTTCAGAGTCACTGGACTTCTTCGCCAATATTCTGTCCATCGGGGCTGTACTCTGTTCCTTTATGATTTGTTTAAATGTGGTTCACAACAGTGTCATTGTAACAGTCACCAGCACGGCTTTGCAATAGCTGTGTGAGGGTGATTTTTCATCAAAAAAGGTTTGCACTTCAAGCATTTGTCACCATTTCCTTATTCTTTGATGT